GAAATGTAATAGAAACAGTAATTTGGCTATATGTAAGATATTTTTTAAATGGTGTGTCTTTCTTTTTCTAATTTAAAAAAAAAGCTGGAATAAAGAAGTTTTGTAGCTGATCATCAGTTTAGTCAGATAATCATGAAAGGTCTGTTAAAACCCACCCAGCTGGAAGAATGACAAGTTTCTCCAATTTTCCTTCTCCTCCCATTGACATTTTATCTTGAATTTACCTGTGAGATGTCTGGCAGTGTTACATTTTACCTTATGAAAAGCACCAAGAATGGGATCCTCGCTGGCAGAAATCAGAGCAGAAGTGCTGCAGGAAGAGGTTAAAAATGAGAATTAGACTCTTCATCTAGTTTTAAGATTTTCATATTGTGTGTTGTGGGTCCATGTAGTCTGCTCACCAGGCAGCAGTGGGAAGAGAGACAGGCTGTGAATGTGTGTGTAGACTCAACACTGTGGATGAATGGATACATCATTACAATTTCTGCATCACTTTAACCCAGGAATCCTCCATATACCCTCATCCCTCCACCCCAACTCCATACACACAAACATCGTCCCACAAAGACACACACACATACAGACACACTAGGAACTGAAACTGCTGAGCCAGGGGCATTACGGGGTTCTCCAATCCTTCCTTTCTGTTCTGTCTCTGATGGGGGTGCCAGTGAGCAACAGATCAGGCAAAGAGTTAGATGCCAGAAGAGGGGAAATATAGAAATGGATAAAAGTGAATGCATTACGAAGACCTAGCCAATGATGAGGCTGTGGTGCAGCTAAACTCAAACCTTAGAACAAATCGGGCCTTTAAACCTCTTCAATGTAAGCATTTCTCTCCCACACTGAAGCTGTAACCGTATTACAATATGTTGTAAACATTTTCCCAGAAAGAATGTTAATCTGTCTTGTGGCTTACGGGCTTTGTATCAGTGGACCCTAGTGCTTTTTGGAGGTAAGCAGGGCATATTTCAAAAATAAATAGTTTTTTAAAAAGTTATTTGGATCCACCCACTTTAAAGTGATGAATGGTACACAGTTATTTTTTTAAATGAATAATAATTATGGTTTTCCACCTTATTTTTGGAAATAATTTCCAGGTAATCTGAGGAGCAGGGCCAGTGGGTTGCCAGACAGTCAGTTCTGAAGAGCTTGGATCTCTAGGTGCTGGTGAATTGGGAATTCACAGCCAGGTAGAGAAGGCTGAGTCGGGACGTTGGTTTGAATGCATTCCCCCACCTGGAAATGAATACACACAGAACCTCTGCTTCCCACATCATGGCCAGAATGAGAATTTGAAGATGAATCGGACTGTGTTGTTCCCTTGGCTAAAATCCTTCTGTGGCTTCCCATTCCTTAGCAGGATCGGCAAGGCTTCCGGGGCCTCTCTCTCCCTCTTTGACTCATTTCCAGTTACTTCTCCTTTGTTCCTGCTGCTCCAGCCACAAGTGTCTTCTTTCTAGCACTTTTGCTGTGGATGTCCCCTGTGGCTGGAATCTTATCCCCAAGATCTCTGCACACTGGCTCGTTCTAGTCATTTGGGTTTCAACTCATGTTCTCCTGGAGAGGCCTTAGGTCACCCCAACCCCTGCCAAAGTTACACACACACACTCCCACTCTCCATTAAATAACACTAAACTGCCACCTGATGGGTTCCTATTTATTTTCCAGACTTGAAGCTTAGCCCATTTCAGGTGCTCGGCATTCGTGGATGATACCAAAGTACCAGGTCTCTATCGGTCCCACCATGTGCTCCTCCCACTTCTCTGTTCCTACTGGCTTTTCCAGAAACAGTTGCTGCAGCTCCTATGCCCTTGTGCTTGGGGCTTGGTTGATAGAAAATGATCTTTTATTTCACTGTGATTTCACAACTAGACAGGTGAGGGTAGATTTTTGGACTATATAAAGTCCGATATAGCACTATGAACATGTTTTATATTCTCTTAACTATTCCCACATTAAAAAAAATCACAAGCCAGTTTTTCATGTTAAAAATAACAGTTCTAACAGGTCCCTGCCAAGGGCGAATTACCCGATGCCCGAGTAGTTGTGGCCCCAAGTGCCTTGACTTTGACCTGTTGCTACTGGTTTAATCTTAACTCAAAGCATGTGGCTCTGGGCTGGGATGCATCTCAACAGGAGGTTAATTATTATAAAACTTGAAAAAAAAATAAGTTCACTCTGTGTACTTTTTGGGACTGGGATGAAAATGTTAACAGGAGCTGCATCTCAGAGGCTCAGGGGCTGAGTAGCCAGAGGGCTGGGCTTCCTGCTCTGCCTGGCTGGCCTCTGGGGAGCCCTGGAGGGGGCGGCTAACTCAGGACCTCAGTTTCCTCGCTGGTACAGTGGAACTCTTCGTGATTCATGAAACCGTTGGGAGAATGAACAAACCAATGGCACGTGTTAAATACTCCAAAATTATTAGCCGTTATTATCAATGCTTCTCATCCCTTCTTCTGGACTCAAATTTTGGGGTAGTTGTTTTTCTTAAACAAAAGGTGTGGGGTGGGGGGACTTTCTTCTTTTCTCACTGAAATGGGCCCTAAATTACAAATTGAAACAGGAGGGCAGGGCTGTGAGCCAGCCTCCACTGTTCCTGTTTGTAGCTCTTTGGTGGAGGGGCTGCAGGATGTCTGCCTGGACCGGTAAAGTCCTTGGTGCTGCTCTGGCAGACTGTTTCCTAGTAATTGTGCCAGCAAAGCCCACGCTGGTTGCCTCAGATGAGGCAGGGCGGGTCCCGACCTGCCACTCCCCTCCCAGCCCCCTCCATTACCCTCACTGGTTGAATTCAGACTTAGTACAGGAATAGCTTCCTGTCATGTGCCTCTCAGGAAAGTATAAAAATGAAGTCCAATTCCTGCTCAGCTTTTCCCACGTTACTCCAAAGTGGGTGTGGTTTGGTTTGGGGCTTTAGTTTTTGTTTGGTTTGTTTTTTTGAGTGTAAACATCCAGATAATTCCTTTCCTTTTTACTGGCTATAACTAGGTTTGCCAAATGAAGTCTTCTGGCTGCAGTGGATAGAAAAGGAGGCTTTGTTTCTCAGATGACACTTCGTGCATGTGTCTGAGTGTGTGTGTGCAGGTGGTCCTGTAGCCTGTGGCCCCCGGGAACCCCAGGTGTGCTCCTGACCCCCTGATCCTGCTTGGGGGCAGCTGTGAGCGAGCCCTGACTCCTCTCCCTGCCACCCTCTGGGCATGTGCTGACCCCTGACCCAGAGATAACTTGTTCCCTCTCTGGTTCCTAGTTCCAGCTCTGCTGCCCCCCAGCTAGAATGCTGAAAATGCAGCCCGGCCGGGGCTGAGCATTCCAGGAGGATCTGCTGCCAGCCAGCTTGGAGAGCAAGAATACTGAGAGTACCTAGCAGCCTGGCACCTTCTCCCTCCTGGGCCTTAGTTTTCTTTGTCTGAACTGCGGCTGTTGAATAGAATGGAAGATTCTTAACCACAGCGAGGGCCCGGGTCTACCCCAGTTTTGTGAGACCTGGCAGCTTGGCCCCACCAGGACTTGGAGCAGCGAGGCCAGCCTCCCTCATGGCTGTACCGTTCCCACTCTCTCTGGGCCTCCGTCAGCCAGCAGGGTCCAGCGGGCACGGCCTGTGGGTGAAGCCCTAGGCTGCCACATGTGGGTCTCCTCTGTGGGTCCCAGTGTTTGAAAGCGAAGAAAAGAAGAAAGGATAATTATGTCTTAAAGAGTTCGCTGAGAAATCTGCACTCCATTCTCAAACATTTTATTTCATCCTTTTGCCCATTTCATCCACTGTTAGTTCTTCTTTCACTTAATGGTAAAATGGATTTTCCACCCGTCTTGAGGGCGGCAGGGGTTTGGGAAGGCGCAGGGCAGAGGGGAGAGGGAGAAAGAGGGGGAGAGAAAGGAGACATGCTAACTCTACGTTTGGACCAAGATCACAGACGAGAAGTTTTACCCCCAAAAGCTGAGAACATTTGAGAGTCGTATGCTTGGAGCAAAACCATTTCATTTCATAATCGCAATGCGTAGACGTTTGTAGCAGCAAGTTTTATGCTCTTGTGTTTCTCCTTGTCCTCAGTCATTAACGGTGTCTTCTGGATGTTTCCCTTTCTCAGTCCATCCCTTCAGAGGTGCCATCTAGCTACTAGGGAGCCAGCCAAGGCCCCGGGGAGACCTGGTCATTGTGGGGTTAGCGTTTTGCCCTGGCTCCCTTGGGGAGGGGCCCAGCCTCAGAATTTAGGTCTCAGGCTGGCGCTTGGCAATCGGGCAAATGCTGTCTGTCAGCTCCCTCTTCTTTGTAATCTGCTTTTTTGGGGCAGGGGTTTGGGGTGAGGGCCCCAGTTACCTCAGCATCAGGACCAGTCGACCTCTTAGAATTTGCCTTAGCTCCGGTCCTGCCTCTCATTGGACAAACAAAGGAAAGCCTTGTTTATTTTGAAGAAGGGATTGTTTTGCTATCATGAGCTGCAGGGCTTTTAAATCTGCTAATAGTAGACCCACCTCATTATAGTTTTTGAAAATGATCTTTTGCAAGTAAGAACAGGCTGTCTTAGTGGAGAATGTTAGAACATAGACTCACACTTGCTGAAAGTACTCTTGTGTCCCGGCACTGCTTAGTGAATGCACAGTGAGGTGATGAATATTCATGAGCTCCCAAGGGTGGCATGAATTTGGAAGCTTGCAGTTCAGGGCAGGAGGCCTCCACACAGGAAGTGAAACCAGCCTGTAAGCCTTTTTACAATTCTGGCTCATGATTTGAAGATTTGTTGATGAAAACACTGTTCTTTGAAAGTTTGGGGGCAAAGGAAAAAGGAAGCTTGTTAGATTTAGCATTAGGATTGAAGCATTAGGTTGAAAAAAAAAAGAACAACACTTCGGGAGTCTGAAGGCGTTAAGTCCTCATCCCATTTGATGTTAACGTGCAGGAACACCTGGGGTTCGGGGCTTCCTCTTTCTGAAATTCCACATCCGCATTCATCAGATGGGAGGGCAGATAGGTGAAGCCTTCCGGGCAGAAGACGGATTCATCTGAAAGGGAGGTGGCAGGGTGGGACACCTGCCCGCAATGAGGTTCCGGACACGGTGCCTTTTTGTGTGACCGCCCCCAGCCCTGCACCTGACTGGCTATGAGTGTTCTGAGGCATCAGCCTAGAAATGGGGCCAGGGGCAGTGCATGGTATTTCTTAAAAATGAGTCAAGCCAGTGGCTTCTTTCCTGTGGGCATCTGCCAGTCCCTGCTGCCTGGGCTGTCTGTATCCCCATGACATACCCCTTCTAGCTCTACCTGGGGTAATAGAATAGCCTGGAAACACACAAGTGTGTTTCTGAGAATGCTGGAGCAGCCCAAACAAACGATGACCTATTACTGTCAAGTCTGCAGGGAGCGTAGGAGCATGGACTCCTGGGTTCTGGAGGAAGGAAGATGATTAATCAGTCTTTCTGGGGTGGGTGGAACGGGGCATGTCTCCCCAGGGGGCACAGCAGAATCCTTAAGTTTGGGGGAAATCGTGTCATTTTCAAAAGTCTAATCATTCAATATGATTGTCTAATTTTATATGTAGAAGCTTAAAAATACTTTATAATATAAATCATATTTGTATTTTGTTTGTTTTGGGAGGGGAGGGGATTAGCTTTATTTATTTATTTATGTTTAGAGGAGGTACTGGGGATTGAACCCAGGACCTCGTGTATGCTAAGCATGCAGTTTACCCTAGTCCAAGACGCTGTATGCCTTGGATAAACATAACTACCTTATTCTTAGCCTTAGTGGCCAGGTTCAGCTACATGCCTGTGGGGTGGGGGTACAGGGAATGGTGTGTGGCTCCCCTGCTCCTCAAGAATCAGACATAAGGGATCAGTGGAGTGTAACAAAACATGTGGCACAGAATGGCCTGGATGATGCAGGGCAGGGTCGCACCTCAAAGATTGAGTCCATAGGTCTTGGGTGAGGCTTGGGCTTCTGCATTTTGGAAACACTTCCTAGTTGACTTTCTCCTTGTCCTCACAGCCTAAATGCCTTGGATCTTTACATTCTATAATTTCTATCAGGGGAGGGTATACACAAAAGGATAGAAAGGATAATAAACCTCATCTCTCTTCTCCATTTAGCATAAGAAATCAGACATTAGCAATACGGTTGAAGTCCCCCATTTCTCCCCTCTCTGTTCTCATCCCCTTGCTTCCCGACACCAGGATAAACCTACTACTCCCCCCCCCTTTGGTGTTTTCATTCCTATGCGTTTCTTTGTCGTTTGGTCATACATAATTATATTGGTAACAATCGATAGTGTTGCTTTACACCATGTCAGTTGGGGTTTACATTTGCCTGCACGTAACAGAAAACCTCACTTCAGTGGCTCAACCAAAAAGGAGGCTTTTCTCTCATTTAGCAGCTGTTTGAGGGCAACCAGGCTGGGGTGGGACAGAATCTCCATGATGTGGTCAAGGACCTGGCTCTTAATTCTGTCATCTCTAGTGTATGGTTTTAGAGCTCATTGTCTCAATATGGCTGCTGTACCTCCAGCCGTTTCATTTGCATTCCAAGCAGAAAGAAGCAGGAAAGACAAATGACAGTTTCATACCACCTGCAGTCCTTTTTAGGACATGAGAAGCTGATAGCTTTATGTGAAGTCCCATACTGTGGACTTCCGCTTATGTTTTCCCAGCCACTCCAATCTTTAGGGAAGAGTGCAAATCAAGAGTGTTAGCTAGGCAAGTTGTCACCCTGCATAAGACTGGATCCCCTTTGTAGGAAAAGGGGGAAGGAGCATTGAGCGGGACACTAGCAGCTACTGCCATGCACGTGTTATACAATTTTATATAAATAATGTGCTTTTTTCTTCAGCTTGTTTTCTCACACAGTGTCACGTTTGCTAGATTCATCTGGGTTGAGAAGTGCTGCCCTACTTCATCTTCATAGGCAAATATGTGACTGTACCATTCAGTCTCCTCTTTTTTAGGCATTTAGACATTTCTGAATTTTTCTATTACAGGCAGTATTGCCATGAACAGTCTTTCCATCTATTAAAAAATGCACAGATTTTAAATGTCAAGGCTGATGAGTTTTGACAAACATGTGTGTTAAAACCACTCCCTGAGTCAAGACATCCACAGACCTGTTTGTCTCTCCACTTATTTAGATTTTCTTTCATTTGTCCCATCAGTTGGGGACAGCATGCCATACGTGAAAGTCCACTGGAAAGGGCTGTCTCCAAGGTTCCTTAGGGTAACCTAGACCAGCAACAGGCTGCATGCGCTACCCAGGGGGCTGCTGTTGACAGCTGTTGCACACCTCGCCCCCGCAGGGAAAGAGCACCGTGGGCTTAACTGGCTGCAAACATGGTATTTAATAATTATATTTTTGATGTCTGCAGAGTCTGCAGTGATATCCTCTGCTTCATTCCTGATATTAGCCATTTGGGTCGTCTTTTTTGTGTGTCTTGCTGGAGATTTATCCATTTTATTGATCCTTTCGAACAACCAGCTCTTTGCTTCATTAACTTCCTCTTCTGCTTTTCTTTTTTCACTTCATTTCCTGTATTTTTTTTTCTCTCCCTTCTGCTTGTTTTGGATTTGCTTTGCTCTCCTTTTCCTATGTTATCGGCTTAGACTCCCAAATAAAATTTCCCCTCAGAACTGTGTCAGTTGTGTCCCGCATATTTTGATACACTGTAACTTCATTTTTGTTCAGTTCAGTGTATTTTTTTTAACTTCCCTTGAGACTTCCCCTTTGATCCATAGAGTAGAAGTTTAGTTTGGAAATTTTCCTTTTACCTTCTGTTATTAACTTCTAATTATTTCCATTGTGATCAGAGAATACAAATGGTACGATTTTAGTTCTTTTAAATTTCTTGAGATTTGCTTTACAGCCCAAGATGTGGTTTATCTTGCTTGATATCCTTTCGTCATTTGGAAAGAATGTGTATTCTACTGCTGTTGGGCGGAATGTTCTATAAATGTAGACTAGATTCTTTTCATTGGCAGCCTTGTCCAGTTCTTCTATATCTTTGCATATTTTCTGCCTAGTTCCTTGATCAGTTGTTGAGAGAGAGAGATGTTGAAGTCTCTAACTGTAATTGTTGACTTGTTTAGTCTCCTTTCAGTTCTGTCCGTTTTTACTTCACATGTTTTTCAGCTCTTTGCTTTGGTACATACCCATTGAAGACTGAGGTATCATCTTGGTAGATCGACTCTTATCATTATGTAATGTGTCTTTCTATCTCTGGTAATTTTCTTGGCATTGAAATTTACTTTATCTGTAGTGTAGCCACCCTGCTTTTCTTTTGGTTTGGTTGCAGATATATCTCTTTCTATGTTTTGTGTTTAACTTGTCTATATCATTATGTTTGGAGTAAATTTCTTATAAACAGCAGATAGTTGGGTCATTTTTTAAAAAATCTACTCTGCCAATCTCTGTCTTTTAATAGATATATGTAGATCATTTACATTTAATGTAATTATTGGTATATTAGGTGTTGATATTTTACCAGTTCAAGTGAATTGAAGAATTCCTGCCTCTTTTTAAGTCCCTTTTCCTCCCCCATTTAAAACATAAGTATCTTAAATATTTCCCCTTCATATATAAAACTGCCTTAGGCAGTGTTACAGTTTTTCTTCAACCGTCAGACACAATTTAGAAAACTCAAGAGAAGGAGGAAAGTTTATTGTATCGACCAATATTTTTGTTTTCTGTGTTTTTTCCTCTCTCTGGATGATTCAAGTTTCCTTTCTGTTTAGAGAATTTCCTCTAGTTACTCTTTTAGGGTAGGTCTACTGATGACAAATTCTCTTCATCTGAGAGTATTTTGATTTCTTCTTCATTCCAGAAAAATTCTGAGTTGATGTTTCTTTTCTTTCATTACTCAGGAAAAAGTGCCACTTCCTTCTGTCCTCACTGTCATTTGAATTCGTTTTCCCCTATAGGTAAGGTGTTGTCTCTCTCTCTCTCTCTCAGTGCTTTCAAAATGTGTTCTTTGTCTTTAGTATTCAGAAGTTTGACTCTAACGTCTCTTGGTGTGGATATTTTGTGTTTATCTTATTTTGGGTTCACTCATATGTTTAATTTTGTAGGTTTATGTCTTTTGTTAGATTTGGGGAGTTTTCAGCCATTATTTCTTCAAGGGCTTTTCCAGCCTTGCCCTCTTTCTCGTCTCCTTCCAGGACTCCGATGATACAAATGTTAGGTCTTTAGTAATAGTTCTACAGGTCCCAGACTCTTCATTTTTTTATGGTGTTCAGATTGGGTAGTTTTCTATTATCGATCTTCTAGTTCACTGATTCTTTCCCTTCATTCTGATATCAAGCCCATCCATCGAGCTTTTTATTTTGGTTGTTGTATCACTTCTTGGCCTTTGGGCTAAAACCAAGTGCATTTTGGTTATTGTATTTTTCAGTTCAAAAATTTCCATTTGTGTCTTTTCTTCATCTTCTGTTTCCTTACTGAGACTTTGTATTTATTTGCTGAGGCTTTCTACTTTATTCATGTATTTTATGTTCGTGATTGCTCATCAAAGTATTTTAATGATTCCTTCTTTGAAAGCTTCTTCTGATATTTCTCTCTCTCTCATCTTGGTGTTTATTTTGTTCGGTTTGGGATTGAATTTTTTTTTATTGAAGCCTAGACATTTTGAGATGTATATTATGAGACTGACTCTTATTTAAGTCTTTTGTTTTACTTGGTTTCCTTTGAACTGCTCTGGTAGGGGCTTCTGACTGCCTGGCTGGGGGTAGAATTCTAGGTTCCCCACCCAACCTCCATTGATATCTGAGTGTGGGCCAGTCCTTGTTACTGCTGGTCAGGGCAGGGGAAGGGTGGTTAGTTCTGGGTAAGAGGGGTAGGAATGCCTTATTACTTTCCCACTGTTCCCCACCTGACCCCTGCTCATGCCAGGGGAGGGGGAGGGATGGCCTCACTGGCAGTCCTGAAAGCTCTGACTCTCTACCAGGCCTCCTCTGATAACACCCAGTGGGGACCAGGAAGATGCCTCATTAATGCCAAGTGGGAATAAAAGTTCAGGCTCCCCATGTGATCTTTACTAATACCAGCCAGTGGGGATGAAAGTCCCTGCTCCCTCCTTGGTCCTCTCTGGTACCACCCAGTGGAACTTTTGGGGCACCTCTTTACAGCCCAGTAAGGGTCAAAGGCTAGGCTCCCTACTGGACTTTTGCTGGCGTGGGTAGGGATGGGGCCATGGCTTTTTCTGGGTCGTTTACTTGGAGGAGAGCCACTTACTGGTTAAAAGCCTTCTGTCTTGCTGGGCTGCCCCTTCCTAATCCTTTAACTCAAGATAGCAGCTTTTGTTGTTGTTTTTCGTCTC